GGGGGGGGGGGGAGGGGTGAAGGTGTGTGGGCTGGTCGTCGTCGTCGTGGTCGTCGTGGCCGTCGTCATGCACGCAGTGCCACCACTTGACGCACTCGTAGTCGCCGCAGCAGACATTGTCTGGGTGGGTACGAGCATGGCGGACAGAGTTGTCGAGGTTGGGGCGGAGGTTGGGGCGGAGGTCGGGGCGGAGGTCGGGGCAGAAGTCGGGGCGGAGGTCGGGGCAGAGGTCGGGGCGGAGGTCGGGGCCAGAGTAGGCGTCGAAGTGGTGACAAAGACCGGGAGCAGAGAAGATGGCTACGTGATGTCTATCCCGGCTGTGTTTGAGGATCCGGTGTACATGCGGGCAGCGATGGTGGCGTGGATCAAAGACTTGGTGGCGGCGCGGGAGGCGGCAGAGGTCGAAGCCCATGCGAGTGGGTCTGCAGGAGCGAGTGGGTCTGGCAGCGCCGGGCGAGATGGCAAGGCCGGCGAGAACGGTCAAGCAACAGATGGTGCTGGCGGAGAGGCTAATGGAGGCGCTGGCCATGCTGCGGCCGAGCAGCTCTCGCTCGACGAGATCCGCGCTCGGGGCTACGTCATCTCGCTCCCGGCGGGCTTTGAAGACAAGAAGGAGATGCGGCGGCGGATCCGGGCGTGGAACGAGCAGATCTTCCAGGCTCGCGAGGCAGAGGGCCACGTGTAGACGGCAAAGGCTGGCGCAGAGAGGTTGTACGGAAGTATTCACTGTGTTATTCCGGGACAGGGTCCGACTAGGCTGTGGGCTCAGGGCAGTGGCCGAGGCCCTGAGGCAGACGGTGGCGGCGGGTGGACAGCGTCCCAGGCGGCGACGACGGCATTGTTGAAGAGCTGGCGGACCTGGCGGATCTTGATGTTGAGCGCGGTGGGGTAGACGCGGTTGGTAAAGAGAAAGGTGAAGATCTCTCGCTGCGGGTCGTTGCAGATCTGGGTGCCAGTGTACCCGAGGTGGAGGTAGGTGTCGGACGAAAGGTTGGCGCAAGAGCGGATGGTGTTGGCCTGGTAGTTGTTGGTGTCCCAGCCGATGGCGCGTGAGCTCTGGCTCACGTTGTAGACGGTGGTGAAGAACTTGACGGTAGTAGCGTTCGCAAATACGTCGTCGGCGGTTGCAAACATCAGGCGGTGCATCAGGATGTACGCGTCCGGCACCGTGAGGAAGAGCCCGGCGTGGCCCGAGATACCACCGAGCGCGTACGCGTTGCCATCCGAGACCTGGCCCTGAATGACGCGATGAAGATAGGTGGTGTCGTTCTCAGTCGGCGCTGCCAGCGGCCACTCGGCGAGCCGCGGGAGGAAGCCCGAGTTACTCATGCCAAGGTAGCCAAAGACGTGCTTGGCCACATACGCCTCGTAGTAGCACTGTAGCGCTCCCGGCCCTCCCTGGTCGCATCCCGGAATGAGGTCCGCAGGCGTGACAATGCCCTCGGCCTTGGCCACCGAGCCCACCACGTACATGGCGGTGATCATGGAGAGGTCCGAGTAGACGTAGACCTGGCCGACCGGGTTGATAAGCGTCTGGTTGAGCAAGCCGGCAAAGATCTTGTCCTGGCACGACCAGTTTTCGGCAGGGTGGTACTTGGCCGTCTCAGGACAGCCAAAGGCTGGCATCCAGTAGTTGGGGTCCGGGTCCGGCGGATAGCCCGCGTTGTGGAGCATGAGGTTGAGGACCTTGATCGGCGCCTTGCCATGGACTCCGTACGCCTTGCCCAGGTACCGCGTGACAGGCGCGTCTAGATCAAGCAGCCCGTCCTGATACAGCCGCATCACCGCAGACGTCGTCGACACAACCTTGGTCACAGATGCGGCGTCGAATCGCGTGTCGGCCACCATGTCTGGCACGGCCGAGTTGAGCGGCGGCAAGTCACCGTAGGTAAAGGCGCCGACCGGCGAGAGAAAGACAAAGCCGTCACGGGTCCCCACACCAGCCACACACCCGGGGAACGCCCCATCCTCCACCGCAGCCTCGAGCACAGCCTGCACAGGCGCCCAGTCGATGGCTTGCACCATCTGCTCGTCGTTGCCGGTCACGTGCGCCTGCGCTCCGCTTGCAGCCAGGGCTGCTGCCGCCGTTATCACCACCACCACCACTGCCGCCACCATGTATGGAACACGCATGGCCTTCATGCCTGTGCAAGCGCTTGAGGAGGAGTGTGTACGCGGCAGGCACGACGACCTGCGCGGCTGGCTCAGCACTGCTGTTTTCTTGCTGATTTTCTCGTGCCGACCAAGATGGGCAGGTAGACGGCAAGCCACGGCAAGAGCCAGGAGGCAGTCTCGGCAGCCCCGTACCAAGGAACAAACAATCACGTGAGTGGATCGTGTCACTCAAACGTACAGTATTTCTATTTTTGGGCGTTTTTCACCCAACCATGATCAACACCACTAAAGGTGATGATGGTGATGATGATGCTGATGATGATGATGATGATGATGACGATGATGATGATGATGATGATGATGATGATGATGATGATGATGGTGATGATGATGATGATGATACGCAAGGAATGTCCCCTTTTTTTGCCGGCGGCCGTAAAAAAGGTCGTGGAAAACAGAGAATGCGACTCGCACACTACGCCACCATGACGGCCACCCGACCAACAGCCGCAAGCATTACCAACCGCACTCTACCTCTCCCACCCAGCCCAGCTACCACTCGTCTCCAACCGCATACCATCCCCCCCCCGTCCCTTGTACATCCACCCACCCCACCCACCCCCATCCTCCCACCCCATCCCCATCCTCCCACCCTCGGCTCCTACTCCCGGGTCTCCTCCAGTCGACCCTCACATAGCGTCGTCCTCCCACGTCATGAGCGAGCCTCGTTCGCTCTCACCACCCGGGGCAGGGAATGTCACGACGAGAACAAGTACAACGACGGCCACAACGACGACAGGACTAGTTGACTCGACACGGCAGGAAGTATCTGCTTCCAACGCCACAGAGGCCGCCGGTGGCAGTGCGGGACACGGCGAGCCGCAGCGGCCGCAGCGGCCGCAGCGGTCGAGCTCGTCGGCGTCACGAAGGGCCTTTCCGCAGCCACACACATTGGATGTGGCTCGTCCGGCAGGTCGCCCTCGGCCGCCGCCGCTCGGATCCCGCTCGCCAGCTCCGGTTACCCCCACCCCCGGCCTCCCGCCGCTTCATGCTCAACTCCCAGACGCGAACGCTTTTGCCGCATCGACTCGCAACTCGCACCCGCACCCGCACCCGCACCCGCACTCGCACCCACCCCACGCACCCCCACCCCCACGCCCGCCACAGGCTACGACTCAGCCTGCCGGCGGACACGGGCCACGCCGCCTTGCATCGCCTCCGCCGCACGCCCGGATCCACGCTCCGCCCACCCATCCGGCTCTCCCGCACCAGCATTCGCAACAGGCCCATCCAGTCATGCATGCCATGCCGATACTCACTAGCGCTGCGTCGACCGCATCGTCGTCGGCGCCGCCGTTCTCGTCGCCGCGGACCCGCTCACGTCCGCGGTCGAGGTCGCGGTCGCGATCACGCTCCCGCTCTCGCTCCGGCTCGAGCGACGAGCCGGCCACCGGCGGCGATCGCGACCGTAATCGCACCCACGACCGCACTCATCCACCCGTCGCGCCACGTGGCCGCGCCTCCCGCACTGCACACACCCAGAGTCTACCCACGGCGGCGCCCAGTGGCGTCGGGAACGACAGCATTGGCGCTAGCCTCCCGGAGGCTGGGGCCGGAGCTGGAGCTGGAGCGGGAGCTGGAGCGGGAGCTGGAGCCGGGGCTGAAGCCGGAGCTGGTGTGGCAGCGGCTTCCGGTGGCCCCACAGTCGGCGCCATCCCGATGCCGGTGCCGGCCATGCTCACCACAGTGGCGCCGCTGCCGTCGCCGACCGCCACAGACGCACTTGCCAGCCTCGCGCCTGCCACCGGCGGTCGAGCCGGCGGTGGCAGAAGCGCAGCGGTACCCAGCCGGACACGGCAGGCAGTCGGTCATGGACAGGCGACGGAAGCGCGGACGCACGGTCACATTGAGAGCTCCAGGGCTGGGTCGTCGCGGCGCGAGCGCGAGCGCGACCGTGACCGTGAGCGCGAGCGTGGAGGGCGCGGGCCGCGAGCTTCGCGGAGCGGGCGGTCGTCGCGGAGCGGACGGCGGCGGTCGCGAGCTTCGCGGAGCGGGCGGTCGTCGCGGCGTGGCGGGTCGTCGCGGCACCGGCGTGAGACCGACGAGTCGGACGAGGGCTGGGTCTGCCAGGAAATTTCACCGGCGGCGCTCAAAGTTGTGCCTGTCGGCTTGTTTGCGGCGGTCAAGGCCAACGCAGCTGACCTCCAGGCGAGCCTCGCCAAAGAGTGTGTGGCGGCTGCGTCCGGCGAGAGCAGTGCCTCCGCGGCGCAGCGCAAGGTTGACATGCACACGCTCATTCTCCTCGCATGCCAAGAAAACCACGTGACGGCGCTGCGGGCGCTCCTTGACTGCAACATGGTCGACTTGCAGGCACCAGTTCCGTGGCCGGCCATCTACGTGGCGGCGCAGAACAACGCGCTCGAGTGCGTGCGCGAGCTGTTGCATCGGGGGGCGGCGGTTGACGCGGTGACGGAAAAGGGCGTGACGCCGCTGTACGTGGCGTCGAAGCGCGGGTTCTCGGACGTGGTGGCCGACTTGCTTGCGGCCGGCGCCGAGGTCGACCGCACCTACGACCACGGGTGGTCGTCGCTCTGCGTCGCTTCGCGCTACGGACGGCTGGAGGTGGCCAAGCTGCTCATTGCCGCCGGCGCTCAGGTCGATGTCTCGTACGTTGACGGATGGTCGGCGCTGTACGCCGCGGCGCGGGCCGGGCACCTCGACGTGGTCAAGCTCCTGCTAAAGCACGGGGCGTCGATCGACCGGCGCAAGACCAACGGAACGACTGCGCTCTGGGTTGCCGCCCGCGACGGGCACGAGACTGTTGTCCGCCACCTCATCGATCACGGAGCCGACGTCAACAAGAAGGACAAGGACTCTTGGACGCCGCTGTACACGGCGGCACGCGAGGGCCACTACGCTATTGTGCTGTACTTGCTCGAGAAGGGCGCTCAGGTCAACACCCAGACGGAGACCGGGCTCACACCGCTCATTGCAGCCGCCGAAAAGGGCCACCTTAACGTGGTCAAGATCCTGCTTGCGTACGGGGCGTCGGTTCAAATCACGGCGGCCGACGGCACGTCGGCCATGTACTCTGCGGCACAGAAGAACCACGTGGACATTGTGGCTGTCCTCCTCGAGTCGAACGCGCCGCCGGACATCTCGCACCGCGAGGGCACGACGCCGCTGTCGACGGCAGCCAAGGAAGGCAACCTTGAGGTGGTCAAGCTCCTGGTCCGCCACGGAGCCAAGGTCAACCGGACTGGGCACGAAGGCACGACGCCGCTACTCTACGCCGCGTACGACGGGCATGACGAGGTTGTTAACTACCTGCTGCAGGCCGGCGCCGATCCGAACCTCTCCAAGGAGAACGGCGTGAGCACGCTGTATGTGGCGGCGCAACGTGGGCACACTAAGATTGTGCGGACGCTCATCGAAGCTGGCGCCAAGGTGGACCAGGCGTACAACGGCGGGTGGCCGGCGCTGTGCGTGGCGGCACGGTACGGGCGGGCCGAGGTTGTGCGCCTTCTTGTCGAGGCCGGCGCGGCTATCAACGCCACCTACGTTGGCGGGTGGTCGGCGCTCTACGCTTCGGCGAGGGCAGGACATGTTGAGGTCGTTCGCATCCTGCTCGAGCACGGGGCGTACCCAAACCAGCCAAAGGAGAACGCGACGACACCGCTTTGGGTCGCAGCCCGCGAGGGCCACACCTCCGTCGCCGAAGAGCTCATCAATGCCGGTGCCGACGTCAACGTCTGCGACTCGACAGGGTGCTCGGCGCTGTACGCCGCCGCCCGTGAGGGCCGCGACGCGGTGGTCAAGCTCCTTGTGGAGCGCGGCGCTGAGGTCAACCGCGCCAACCACGACCACACCACGCCGCTGTACGTTGCGGCTTACGACGGTTTCGTCAACGTGGCACGCTCGCTGCTCGCCGGCGGGGCCGACCCCGAGGCTGCGGCGCAGGACGGGGCGACGCCGCTTTTGTGGCGTCGCAGCAAGGCCACGCCGCTGTTGTGCGCGTTCTCCTCGACCCGTACCATGCCTCGGTCGACGCCACACGCCTTGACGGCGCCACGCCGCTCTTTTTTGCGGCGTACAACGAGCACACCGATGTGGCCAAGCTTCTTCTCGCCCACGGCGCGTGCGTTCAGCTGGCGACGCTCACCGGGCTCACGCCGCTCGCTGCCGCCGCCCGCAAGGGCTCGCAGGCCATGACCGAGCTCCTCCTCGCGTCGATGCATCGGACGGCGCTAGCGGCGGCACGGCGCGGTGCGGCCAACAGCGAGGTAGCACGGCGCGAAGCCAGCAGCACGCAGGCGCTTACACGCGGTGCACCCAACAAGGCTGCGCTTGCTGCCTCACACGAGCTGTTTGAGGGCATTCGCTACGCGCGCATGCACTCGGAGCTTGAGAACTCGATCATCGACTATCTCATCGACCCGGCGACGCCGGTCCTCATCCAGCTCATGGGCTCGCACCCGGTGCTGGAGCGGGCAGTCCGGATCCCGAACCGTGACTGGAACGCCCTCGCCCGCACCTGCCGCAATCCGATCCAGGCACTGGCGCAGGCGTCGGGCGTGCCGCTGGAAATCTGGATCGTCATCGTCCTCCCTCTGCTGGGCAATCCCGTGATGGAGGACGAGGACGTGCCGCGGACGTTCCGCGGCACCGTCCTGCAGGCCATGTCCGAGCCACTGCTCTCAGTCCCATCGATGGCCACCATGTTTGAGCACTTTATTCCGCCGTGGTGGCAGACGGTCGGACAGGGCAAGAGCTACACCCACACGGCCCAGCGCGCGGCGTTTGCTCTCAAGCTCCGCCACTTGGCGCGGCTCGAAGGCAAGGCATAAATTGGCAGAGACTTAGCAAACGCAACACAGAGGGAAAGAGCGAGGGAGTGTGGAGAGCCTTTACGCCATCGAAAAGCACTTCTTCAGCACGTAGTCGATGCCATGCTCGTCGTAGTCGGCCTTGGTCATCCAGAAGTCGGGGGCGTCCTTCATGATGTCGGCAAGGACAGCACCGCCGAGGAAGACCATGTGCTTGCGGCGCGGCGGGTCCTCGATGCGGACCTTGAAGCGCTTGAGGGCCTCGGTATCGCCCTTGAGGATGCGCTGGAGGTAGAGCTGCTTGATCTCGCGCTCCATGCGCGAGGGCAGGCCCGGGTACATGGTGGTACCACCGGAGAGCACAATGTGCTTGTAGAACTCGGGGCGGGTGTCGATGTCGGCAGCCTGGATGGTGTTGAAGAGCATCTCGGCGACGCCCGGGGCCTCGACGTCGATGAGCTCGGGCTTGAAGAGGCACTCGGCGGCCTCGAAGCGCTCGCGGCCGATCTTGATGACGCGACCGTCGGGGAGGGTGTACGGGCGGACGAGGACGGTGGTGTCATGGGCCAGCTGGCGCTCGAGCGGCAGGTCGTAGCCGACGTAGCAGAGCTCCTCCTTGATGTTCTGGACCGTCTCAAAGTCGGCCGTGCGGTTGAATGCGTAGCCGCGGAGCAGCATGAGCTTGATGAGGTAGCGGGTAATGTCGCGCCCGGCCACGTCCAGGCGCCGGGTGAGGTGCGGGAGTGCAAAGCCGTCGTAGACCGGAATGATGTGGGTCACGCCGTCGCCCGAGTCGACGACAACACCGGTGGAAAGGCCCTGTGCGTAGAGCGTGAGCACAGCCTGAATCGAGATGTACGCGCCCTCAAACTGGTAGTGCTCAAACATGGTCTCGATCATCTTCTTGCGGTTCTGGGCCGGGTTCATCGGCGCCTCGGTGAGCATGATCTTGCACTCCTTCGGGTCGATCCCGAGCTTCTCCGAGAACGTGTAGTCCCACACATGGAGCATGTCGTCCCAGTCCTGGATGATGCCGTTGTTGAGCGGGTACTTGCAGTCGAGCATCGAGCGGACCTTGGACGCCTCGTCACCCACCATGATGTCCTTGATTTCCACGTTGCCCACCTTCTCCTCAGACCGGAGAATCGGCCGCCCCACCATGCACGGGAAGATCGCCGTCGGGAAGTTGGCTCCCGCAAAACCGCACTTCACAAACTGTCCTCTCATTCGCCCCGCACTCTTTGCGTGAGTTGTCGTCGTCCCCAGCCGGAGCGGGGGGGAGGGGGGGGGGGGTTGTCCCGACCTGGGCCGACGCCGCTACTGATCGATCAGCGGTGATCGATCAGCGGTGATCGATCAGTAGCCATGGCGGTCACCGACGACCAACACCACCAATGACGAAAAAAATGACCAACCCTTGCCTTCGGCGGTCGGATTGCGTGTTCCATGTCGCAGAACGTAGGCGACATGGCGACCCATCAGCCACCCCCATGACGGTATGGTGGGAGTCACGCGGAGGATGACGAGGTGACAACTGCGAGAGACTGGGGCGCTTAGGAGTCGCGCTGGGGGGGGGGGCGGGGGCGCGACGCCTGCGGGAGGAGCCGTCGGTGGCAACGAAATTTCATGGGAATTCGAGGTCAGCCACAGCTACGGCCACAGCTACACCGCCATGGCCATGGGTACACACGAGCCAGGGGTTGGAGAGGGAGCGAGGGAGGAAAGGCAAAGTCCATGCACGGACTTGGGTACGTACGCCGGTTCCATTGTCGCACACAATAACCTTCGAGCGGTCGTCGGCCATGGTCGAAAGAGTTGAGTATACCACGCCGTAGTCGGCCGTCGGCCCCGTCGCCTGGGGTCAGGCCGAGCAGCGAGCCAAAGCCAGACCTGACCGCCCGTTCTGAGTCTGCGAACGAATGTTGGCGAATATGATGCGAGTGCGGCGGATTGGCTCTCACCGCCGCCATCGGTTGCGGCACTCGACCATGAACTCTGTTGCTGTTCTTCTCGTTGCGCTCGCCCTCGCGCTGGCGGTCGCGCCCTCGGCTTCTGCTGCCCCGGGCTATGTCAACTGGGACTTTATGGTGTTCCGCCTCATGTACGTCGACCGCTCCCTTCCTTCCTTCTCCCTCGCTCCCGTTCCCGTTCCCGTTGGTACCCCCCTCCACCGCCGAGCCGCGTTTTGATTGGATGGCTCGTGACACGACTGGGCCGGATTTGTTCCGGCAACCACCCGCACACAAAGAAATAATATTTTCAATGCCTGGAACTCACCCTCCCCCCCTCTCCCTCCCCCACGTCCCTTCCCAATGCAGGTGGCCGGGATCGGTCTCGGGCGGCAACGCTGTGCCGTCTGGGCTCAACGGATTCTCGATCCATGGCCTCTGGCCGACCAACAACGACACGTCGGGCCCGTCGCAGTGCACCCACGAGGCCTTTGACGAGTCGCAGATCTCGTCGCTGCTGCCGGAGATGAATGTCGAGTGGGCGTCGATCTGGCCCGACTCGAAGGGTAACGAGGGCTTCTGGGCGCATGAGTGGACCAAGCACGGGACGTGTGCGGCGGAGCTCTCTGTCCTTGGCTCGCAGTACAAGTTCTTCAACGGGGTGCTCCAGCTCAAGGCCCAGCTCAAGGTCCTCGACGCGCTCCAGTCGGCCGGCATCTACCCGTCCAACTCGAAGACCTACACGCTCGACCAGATCAAGTCTGCGCTGACCGACGCGCAGATGCCGCCGCTTGTCTTCTGCATGCCGGCCAACAAGGCTGACGGTGCCGAGACCTCCTCGCCGCCGATTCTCCAGGCTATCGAGCTCTGCGTCGACACCTCGCTCAACGTCTACACCTGCAACGACGCCATGCAGAAGGCTGCTGCCTCGCGTGGCCACTGCTGGTCCGACGCCATCGGCCTCCCCGAGATTGTCCACTAGACCTCCTCTTAAACGCATCTTTCGAGTTACACCACAGACCCAGCTTGCGACTCGCTGGCTTTTTACTTTTGCTCGGCAACGTCGAGCACGATGGCAACACCTGCCTCGACACACTCGTGCACGCTCTCGTCGGTCTCGAGGAGCGAGGTGAAGAGGTACGAGGTCCCGCGCTCTTGCGAGATGTAGACTGGGCACTCGTACTGCTTGTCGGCGACTTCCTGCTGCTTGGCGGGGCCGAGGACCTCGGCGTCGACGTCGTGGTCGGCGTCAAAGACCGATGCCATGCCCGGGCCGATCTCGCCCCACGCCGGGCCGCCAGAGGCCTGAAAGTGGCGCTTGCCACGGCGGGCAGGGCCGCGCTTGGCCTCCTGCACCGCCACCACGTGGACAACCGAGAGCTTCGACTGCGAGGTGTAGAGCTGCGCCGCGTAGTCAGGCTGGTTCCGCGAGAGCACCAGGCCGCGGCCTTCCTCCCACACGCAGCCTTCGAGCCACATGCCGGTCACGAGCACGCCGTCCTTGGGAAGACGGATCATGCCGTCGACAGCGAGGCCGGTGACTCGGGTCTTGAGCGTCAGCTTGTCATAGTCCCAGTGGTTCTTCCGCGCCGTCACTTGCTTGATGGCAGAGAGGTACGACCACGGCGCAAAGAGGAGCGAGAGGTCGACCACGTCCGGAAGCGTGAGCGTCGTCACCCACTCGCGGAGCATGGCAATGCGGGCGAGGAGGTTGGCGAACCAGCCCTTGACCGGCCGCAGCGACGAGATGTACAGCTCCTGCCAGAGCGCAGGTACGCTCCCGGCCGTCAGTGCCTCCATCATCGACTGCATGCCCGGCGAGACCGCGACTTCGGCCCGGAGGCCGGCGTCGAGGAGAACGAGGAATGAGCGGAGCGAGGTGATGACCCCGTTGGCGCGGTCGACTTCTTGCACAAACGCGTCGACAAACGGCGACTGCTTGCCCTCCAGCCGCTCCAGCACATCCGCCAGGTCAAACAGGCCCGGCAGCCGCTCGAGAAAGTCCTGCACCATGTTCTCCACCGTCGCCGTCTGCGACAGTCGCCACCGCATCACCGACGGTGACTCCATCAGCACCCGCATCGTTTCGATCCGCTGCCGCGCCTCGGCCGCGTCTGCCTGCCGCCGCACCGTCTCGTCCATCTCGGCCAGCTCACCGAGCTCGAGCCCGGCCCGCGAGACAAGGCTCAGCTGTGCCTCGCCGCTCTCGCTCGTACCGGGCTCCAGCTCGGCTTCGGCCTCGCGAGCCTCGACCACTGCGCTTGCTGCCCGTCGCGCCACAACTGAGCCCACTCGAGGCTGAGCATCGGCATGCTCGCCGCCGCACTCGCCACCGTCTCGGCGTCCAGCCCCGACGCCGTGACTAGCAGCGAGGTCGGATCGAGGTCGGCCTTGAGTACCCGCCCGGCGTACACGTTGACCGTCCGCTCGTCGCGCTCGTCGAGCATGAGCCCACCGTACCCGATCTCCGTCACCAGATACCGCACCAGCTTGTACGGCACGTCAGCGGCTTCGGACGACTCCATCACCGCTCGTAGCAGCGAGAGACCGTACACAAAGTCACGGAGCGCAAAGGCGTGCTCATCGTTCCACCCCACTGCCAAGTACCGCTCGCGCATGACAAACACCGCGTGGATGTACGCAAGGCCGATGACCACAGGGGTAGCCTGCCACTGCGAAGCCGTCACCGCCGCAACCGTCCGATCGAGCACTTGCGGGAGCGAGCCGACCTCGCGCGCCACAAACTTGAACGCCTCACGCACAAGCCATTTGGGCAGCGGGATCCGCGGCGAGCCGCCCGGGCGGACCACGGGCTCAAACGAGATAAAAACACGCGCCCGGCCGGTGCGTGGCCCCTTGGCGAGCCACTGTTGGAGGTGTGCAAACCACGAGGCGTTCATCGCGTGTGCGTTTTCCAGCACCAGCCAGTGCCCGCGCCGATGCGCCTTGCGCACCGCCTTTCGCACCGCATCCAGCAGATCTTCGTCGCCAGCAGCGCCAAACTCTTGCTGCGGCAACGCGGCGCCAAAGTGCACAACGCGGACTTGCGACAACGGCATGTCCGACTTCCGCGCAGCCATCGACACTAGCTCGGTCAGCGTCAGCCGCGCCTCGCTCTCGTACAGAATCGGGACCGTTGGCGACGCGCCTTCCACCGTTGCCATAAACTCGGCCATAAACTCGGTCTCGGCTACAAACGCCGCTCCGAGGTTCCGCCGCGTGAACCGGACCATTGCCCGCTGCAGCCGGTCCGGCCGCAGCGCACGGATCACAAGCAGCTTGTCAAAGTCCGACACCCGCCCAAACTCGCCCGGCAGCGGCACCGCCTCGGGCGCGTCTTGCACCGCCCATCGCGACCACACCTCCGGCGCGCCGAGCACCACCAGCGAGAGCTGCGACAGGTCGCCCTCGTGTGTGTTCGAGAGCGCGTGAAGCGCACGCCACTGCTCGAGCGAAAAGTACGGCGAGAGCGGGTTGTTCTCCACGCCCCCGCTCCTGCCGCTTCCGCTGCGCACCGATCCGTCCTCGCCGCCTTCAGGTGCCACAAGCAACGCCATCTGCGTGTCGGTGAGGCTGCCTTCGGCAAGCATGATCGAGAAACAGAGGACAGGACCGGCCACGTCCTTGGTCTCGCGCGAGAGGCCGCGAAGATACATCCGGAACAGCGAGAGCGTGACTTGGCCCACAAGCTCACCGACTCGGTCCGAGCTAAGCAGCCCCGACTCGCGCGCAAACTCGTCCACAATCGACGAGTACACCCGAAGGTAGAGCCGGACATCGTAGTCCTGCAGCTCGTCGAGGCGCGCAAACCGGGTAAAGACAGAGTGCACCAGCCGCCCGCGCGCCGCAAGCGGCCGCAGCGCCTCGAGCTCCATCTGCCGCATCGAGTTGGCGTTCTCCACCTCCTCCACTGTCTCCTCCACCGTCAGCTTGAGCTTGACCAGGTGCGAGAGCTTGGAAAATCCTTCCACAAGCGACTCAAACGGCCCAGCCGCCATGTCGGCAGCCTCGGCCGCACGCACATAGTCAGTTGTCGAAAAGATCGAGTTGTACCGGAGCGGGAACTCGCCGCTCTCACCGAGCGATGTCATCGACGCCGTGCCCCGCCGCGAAAGCTCCGAGCTGGACGCCCGCCCCGCGCCCAGCCGCGCAATCGACTCGCCACGCCGCAGCATCCGCCGCCGCCGCTCCGCCGGTCCGGCTGCCAGTCCTCTCCCGCTCCTATCTTCGCCTCCACCATCGTCATTGCTTCCGCGCACAGGCCGGACTGTACGATCCCCGCGCGCTGGCCGCGGCGGCCCGGCTCCAGGAGGCAAGTTGAACAAGTGCTCAGCGTGAAAGTCGGCTGAGACCAGCGGCGTGTACGCCACATGGTGGAGCAGCGCGTTCGCCAGCCGCTCGCTGGCCGCAGAAAGATCCAGCCACGCACCCGCGAGCATCCGCTCGTCAGCAAGCACCCCAGGCATCAGCGCGGTACACGACGACATAAAAAGTCGCGACTCGAGGGCAACCTCAAGCGGAACGCCGTTGATTACGTTGACGTGCGGCCGGAGCCACGCAGGCTCCAGCGGCAAGCACCACTCGGTCACCACCACCACCAGCCGGAACGCGTCGTTAAACTCAACCTTGGTCCCCTCGCCCAGTGACACGTACTTGGTCCCGCCTTCAGTCACCGTTCGGCGCGCCACCAGCGCCTCCAGCTCGGCTGGCACTAGCGACGCATCCGAGACAAGGAACAGAGCAAGCGAGCCATGCGTCACCGCGTTCTCCAGTTGGGTTCGGAGGAGGCCGCGCGACTTGGTCTCCCAGTTGAGAATCGTCACACTCTGTGCAGGTGGCAGCAGCGCATCGACAAACTGAGCTACAGCCGCCGGCCCCTCATTGGCGAGCTCCTTCAACACCGAGCTCAACTCCCGACTCGGCGTCGCAAGCGCGAGCAGTGCCGCCTCAACAGCCTCCACAATAGTCTGCGAAGCATCGGCAGCGTCAGCCAACACGCCCGACGAGACCGAGGCCAGCAGCGATGCCGCCGAATTGTGGATCGATCGCAAAAAGTGACCATGAGACGAGTCCGACGACCCGTCCGTCTCGCTCTCGGAACCATCGCTGCCATCGCTGCCATCGCTGCTGATCGAGCTCGAGCTTGTCGAGCTCGACTCGCTCGTGTGCGACTGCTTTGCCGCGCGTTGCCTCACCCGGTGCTGTGCCCGTGTGTGCGACCGCGACCGCGACCGCGAGCGCGACCGTGACCGCGACCGAGATCGCGACCGCGAGACCGATGGGGACACCGAGTTTGAGATCGATGCCCCTGGTGTCGTCGAGTTCATCCGTCTCAGACGCGCCATGCGATTGCGTGTCCGTTGCGAGCCACGCGCATTGGTCATCTCGGCCTTGGCTCCGGCGTTGGTTGTCGAGCTCCTCTTTCGCCCGGCGGCGGCTTGGCCGGCAACCACGTTCATGACCCACGATTGAAGCGTTGCCGCTGCAGCCTTGCGCCGCATGCCGAGGTCGTCGTACAGCCGCTTGAGAAAGGCGACTAGCGAGTGTGCTGGATCGATGAGGACCACAGTTCGAACTGCGTTGAGCAAAATGGTCACGTTTTGGGTCAGCATCATGTTGTCGTCGAGCTCGAGCGTTTGCCACCGGAGCACATCCTCCATGCTCGTCAGCAGCGCCACGCCAGGTACGTGCTCAGAGACCGGGAACGCCCGCTGCTGCAAGTCGTGCTTCCACACCGAGTCCATCAGCTCGGCACGTGTGGTCTCGTCAAACTGGCCAGCAAACGTGACAAATGACGCCGCGAGAAGCGCGTCGGCAACGAGCGCGTAGATGCGCGAGCCGATGTCCAGTACGCCAAGCCTCCACTCGGACGAGAGCGGCGCGAGGACACTATGTACACGGCGGGCCTTCTCGAGCTGGTCGCGGATCTCGACTACCTTTTGCGATTGGGTGATCTTCTCCGACGATGCGACCTCAAACGAGGCCGTAAGCACCTGGATGCGCCCTCCGAGCTCATCGACCCGCTCCCGAAGCGAGAGCACCCGTGTCTGCGCCATCTCGAGGCTCGCGCGGACCTTGTTAAGCTCGTTCTCCACCGGAAGTACCTCCTGATACGCGTGGTGGTACGACATGATGGAGACAACCCAGTCGGCGAGCGCCGCCACTGCCGTTCCGGCCAGCCGGAGACCCTCCTTTGAGAAGAAAGGCATGTCGGTGTACCGCATCACCTCGGCAGCGCACTCACCCGAGATGACATGCGGATCAAGCCTGGTCAGTCGTGCCACAAACGCGTCGACCTGCGCCATCATCCGCTTGCACAGTGACCACCGCACATCGGTCTCCGCCCCCGAGTTGGAGGCGAGAACGACGGCGGCGGCAACAACGGCGCGGACCTCCCGCGGCGGATTCACCATTGTTCGCAGCTCGGTGACGTTGACCTTGTTGAGACTCTCCAGTGCCGTCAGCGCCGCCTCGTAGCGCGGCCGCGCAAAGGCACGCGCCTCGTTGAGCTCGGAGCTTAGCTCCGAGAGGCGGAACTTGAGCTCGGCCACAAGCTCCTGCTCGCTGGCAGCCTTGGCCACTTGCTGCTCTTTGAGGCCGCGGTCACGCCCAACCTGCGAGAGCAGCTTGTCAGTCGCCGCCGTTTTGATGGCAAAGACTGACTCTTCGCGCTTGAGCGAGGCGTCGAGCCACGCTACAAACGCGTCGAGCTCTTCCACCTTGCTCTGCGCCACAGCCTGCTTGTCAGCTGCATACCAGAGCTGCAGTCGTTGCTCCGTGAAAATGGCCTTAAAGTTGGAGAGGAGGACAAAGAACGATCGCATCGGCGCCACCGGGTACGAGAGACCGAGGCCAGGTCCTGACCCTCCGCCCCCCGAGCCGCCGGCCGGCCCGGCGCCCGAGCTTGAGCCCGCGAGCCCGCCGCGTGCTGCTGTCGACCGCGCGCGCCGTCCACTCGACCGCACCCCACCGCCGTCGGACCGCCGGCTCTGCATGAGTTCTTCGTACGCTCCGAGCTCGGCTTGCTTGGCGCGGACGGATTCAAAGACCATCGCCAGGTGATGCGCCACGTTCTCGCGGTCAGCAGCAGACATGTGGCTGCCCATGTCAAAGTCAGCCAGCGACTCGAGCGCAATGGCCGTCAAGTCCGCCCGCCGCAGCGGCGACATCCACATGAGCGACATCGAGTGCACCAGTGTCGGGAACTGGCGCATCAGCGAGCCGAGCGACTTGCCGGACGAGTCGGTGACGCACAGCACAAGAGTGAGATTCTCTGCAATGTTGGCGAGGAAAAACTCCCAGCAGACCTCCACAGAGTCGACCATGCCCCGCGACTTTGCCTGCGACCGCAGCGCCCGGGTGATGTGCCCGCGATCGTCGCCCGAGAACAGCGATGCCACGTTGCCGGTCGAGACAAATTCGTTGAGCCGCGCTAGCACGTCGACGTCCATCGGAAGTGCACCGCCGCTGTCACTGTTGCCGTCACCGGCAAATCCTTCGCCCGCCGACGCGCTTCTACCATCCGGCGTGGTGGCTGCTTCGCCCGAGGGCGTCGATGACGAGCCTGACTCGCCAAACGGCCGCCTCCGCCGCTCCCACGCCGCACCGGTAAGCACATGCTCGATGTCGATTTGCACCACTTGCGGCACGCCGTGGACGCCAGCCTCAAGCAGCGCCTCGGAAAAGACAGTGACAAAGGCCTCGTAGTCGACGGTCTGTGGAAAGCGGACAAGCCGCGTCCCGGCAACCACCGCAGCCATCGAGGTGACAAACCCGGCTTGCTCGCCCACCACAATGGCATGGCTCAGGTTGAGCTCCACAATCCGAAGCAAGTGCGAGAGGTGCTCCGCAAGCTTGGGATACAGCATGCCGGACGCAATCGCAGCCTCGATGTGGGGCATGTTGTGGAAGACCGATCGCGGACGCGCCACGCCGAGCAGCCGCAGTGGCGTCCGCAACGCGGTGATGGCCGGCTCCGGCGCTTGGGTTGGCACCTGGAGCTGCCGCCATGAATCGGCCAGTAGGCCACAGAATGACTGCGACTTGCGAAGCATAGCTCCAGCTCGCGCCAACAGCTCATCTATCGCGTGATCGGCCTTGGTTCCACCATAGCGGCTGGAGGGCAGGCCCATTCTGGTGTTGCCCGTCCCCCTTCCCGCCTTGGCGTCGAGCCACCGACGGCGGCCTCAACATCGAGGTACAACAGGCGAAAGAGAGACGCCAGCGGCTCGTGGAGGGTGGAGACGGGGTCCGGCGGCGGGACGCGACCCATTTGCAGGCCGCGCCCGAGTGTGTCCCGCTGCAGGCGAGTCCTTTCCCCACTTGCATGCTCAAACTGGCGCACCGGCCGCGGGCTTGGTCGTTGCGGCGGGTGACGGGCGTCGACACCACGCGTGCTCGACGTACTGTGGGCCGCAAACGAGCCGCGGAGCGGTGCAATGACAAACGATTCAAAAACCAATGAGCCAGCATACGAGAGCTCCTGCAGCTTGATCGCCAGACCACGATCCGAGAGCATTGAGCCGAGCAGCAGTTCTCGAAAGTAGCCGCCCGAATGCATGGCGACAAACTGCGAGCTGCTCCCCACTTGACCTTCCGAGCTGCGCGAGGCTCCCGACGCCGTCCACGGCGACATAAGGAGGCCGGCAGACTCAATTCCGGCAAGGAGCGATGGGCTCTGGCCCACCGAGCTCGCGTCGCCGTCATCATGCCCCACCAGGCTGCTAACGCGCGACGCGGTCGGTGCCTTGGACGGCGAACTGGAACCGGCGCCTGCGCTCCGGCTGAGCTCGGCCTCGGCCATGCGAGGCCTGTCACCAGCAAATCCATCGGCGTCGCCTGCTGTACCCCCAGTGCGGCCTCACCGCCGCTACCAGCTAGGCTGCCGCTTACTCCGGTCGCGCCGCCGCCGACGAGCATCCACATGCCCGGCAGAACCGGCGAGAACGACCGTGCAAGAATGGCGGTGAGCACGTTGGACGCCATGTCGCCGCTGCTCTCGCCGGAAGGCGGCAGAAACGAGAGCCCGCCACGGGCAGTCATCGCTTGCGGGGTGGTAGCAAAGGTGGCGAGCATCATCGAGTTGACACGTCCTGGGTGAGCAAGCGCAAAGCCGCCACCACCTGCACCACCACCTACACCTTGGTGCGGGATGAGAAGGCCGGGGTTTCCCAGTGACATCGAAAGGCCAAAGCTCGTGGACTGGCCAGGGGTGCGGTCGCCGAGACCTTGGCCTTCGAGCGCAGAGCCGGGCAGGCTGGCGCTGTCATCGCCCTGGCCTTGGGCCATGTCGAGATCGACAGCAGCCGAGAGCGACGCGTGGGCGTAAACAGGTTCGTGGGCAAAGACCGCCGCCGGGGTCACCACCTCAAAGTACTTGGAAACAAGGTTGCGACGGAGGTGCTCAAAGAGATTGCGGTCGGCGGCCGAGATGAGGCGATCGCCATAGACTCGCGCGAGCTCGTAGGCCCAGAGGCGAACGAGCGAAGTCGGGTCGGCAAGAATGTCGTCGGCGAGAACGAGGCCCATGCCACGAAAGACATCGCCAATGTCGTTGACCTTGAACAGGTAGTGTGCGCGTGTGCCGCGCGCCACAAACCGGCGACGGAGCGTCTCGTGAGCCTCGACCGTGGCGTTGACAAGGCCAAGGCGCATGCCGTCGAGGCCCGACGCAAAGGTTACCGGCGAGGCCTTGCCCAGAAAGATGGACGCCAGCTCGCGGAGCGAGGCCTCCTCCGGGTAGGGAAAGGTGACGAGCGAAAAATGCCGGAGGAGGCGGGCTGAGAGCGCAGACATGGGCGACATGAGGTGGTCCATGGCGGCAACAACCTGGACGCCGCGGACGTGCCACGGATGGAGCTGCGCCGACGCCACTGGACTCCGAGCAGCCAGTTCGGAGGAGGCATACATGGTCTTGTGGTCGAGAATCTGGCGGAGAAGCTCATAGACATGGCTCGAACTCGGCATGTTCATGTCGTCAATGTAAAGAATCATCGACTTGGTCGCCGGCGGGCCCAGGACTCTGCCGGACGAAAACTGCAGCGCCGACGTGACAAAGGCCTCCACATCCTCGACGGACGTTGCTGCGCTCCATGTTGCAAACTTGGAGCTAACCCGCGAGTCCTCAATGGAACGGATGTACGAGCGGATGACAGTCGACTTGCCGACACCGGGCTCACCGACCACCAACGTGGGGATGCCGGCGTCCATGGTGAGCTTGAGCATGTACGCGGCCTTGATGGCCTCGCTGGTGGGTACAAACAGATCCTGTGAGTCGATGAGCTCGAGAACACACGACGGCGTCGCCTCCTCCCACGGCACCATGAGCTTCTTTGACTCGTGGACGTAATAGTCAAAGACCGAGCCGCCGTCCTCGAAGCGAACCTCGCGAAAGACGGTTTTCCACCACTCGGAGAACTCGTGCTGATAGTCGGAGGTCCGGGTGTTGACAAGCGACGCGCCGAGGCCCCAGATGCAGGCAAACTGAAAGTAGGCCTCATAGTCGGTTTTGGGCGAGCCCAGCGGGCAGTGCTGCGGGACGAGAAGTGCCTCGAGCATGCGGCAGAAGCGCTCGACCGCGGCCATGGGTGTCATTTGCGGGACGAACCGTGGCGAACAGACAAAGGTGAGGACGTCGTCGATGTAGAACTGGAAGAGTGACGAGAGAATGGCCTCTTCCTCGCGCGACCGACGGCGGCGGAGCCAGGCCCGCACATACGCCTTCCAGTCGACGTCGGTCCCGTTGACATACACCGTTGCACCACGCGCAATGGTCGACGGCGAGGCGTGCACGAGATGGTTCGACTCGATGACAAAGTGCACATGCTCCGGGTCGACCACCAGCCGCTCGTTCGACGACAGCGGAACGGCGCGGGCCTCGTCAAAGGCCGAGCTGAGGACGTCGGCCCACTCGGGCGCAATGTCGCCGTCGAGCACAATCCACTCGCCGGCCACGTCCATCGGTACCAGCCGGAAGCCACGCCCGTTGGAGACGGCAACACCGCCAAGAACGTCGGCGACAATGTCGGACAGCGTGACCGAGGCCGCCGACGCAGCCGACGCGGCTGAGCTCGGACGAGTGCCGGCGGTGGACGGCCGGCCGGTCGGGTCGGGGGCTGACGCCGAGTCGACAGCGCCGGCACCGCGTGCGGCGTTGGCACGGGCGCGAGCGAGGGACTCGTACACATGCGACGAGCAGCGGGTTAGTGCGCGGCGGACGGCCAGCGGGAGCACACCGTCCGAGTACCGTGACGCATTGATGGCCACGTTGGGCGGTGGGTTGTGGGCGTCGTCTGTCCACCCGGCAGGCAGCGGCCGCTGCTTGGATGCGGTATCAATGACCTCGTGGCCCATGAGATACTTGAGCGGGAGCGCATTTGGACAGATGAGCGTGGTCCGGACTTTGGTGAAGAGCGCGATGTTGTGGATCCACGCGAGGCCCGGGAGGCCGGCCTCGTCGCCATTGTCTAAGGTCTGGTGCGCGTAGTCGATACCAAGAATGTTGTCACGGAGCTCGGCGTTGGAGCCGGAGGTGGGGACATGAGCCTTGCCGCCTCCGGTACCAGAGAACGAGGCGCTCATGCCGGTCCCGCCCGGCACCATCGACGAGTCGAGGAAGCTGGCGAAGGGGTCTCCTGCTGGCTCATGCTCACGGTCGCAAGCGGTGGCGACGGACGAGCCCATGTCAGAGCCGTCGTCCGAAGCTGTTGTCCCATCTTCGCCGGGCAGGCCAAAAGTGACGTGGAGCGAGGCTAGGGATGTATCGTTGAGCGAGACGCCCGAGGCTGCCGCGTAAGCAGAGGCCTTGGCAGCCATGTCGCCACCCAGCTCGGCGGCAAGGCGAGGGACAATTCGGGCGAGCACCTTCCACAGCGTGGTCTTGCCGACGCCGGTCGGCCCGAGAACAAGTACCATCCGCGAGAGCGAGAGGCTCTGATACAGCTGATAGAGCTTGTTGAGAAAGGCCTCGGTCGGCTGCAGGCCGCACTCGTTGAGCACCTCGGATGCGACACGCTCAAAGAGCATGTCGTGCTGGCGCTCCTGGTCGAGGAATGGAAACAGGTCCTCGATAACCGACTGGAAGAGTGCCGTGTCGCCAGAGAGCACCTTGGGCGTGTTGTAATCGCGAAGCGCTCGCATGAGAATAGGCAGCTCGGAGAGGTCCGGCTCGGCGTGCCGAAGTCTGCCAGCAAGCTCGACGACCGAGAGCATCGGCCGGAGGCCCCACCAGTAGTGCGCCTGGGGTGAGATGTGCTCGCGAGCAAGCCGGAAGAGGGCCAGCGTCTTTTTGGCGAGAGTTTCGGCCTTGACAAAGCCTTTGGAGGCGAGAATGACTCGGCAAATGATCTCGTGATCGGGCTGGACAAGGCCGATGGGTCGGAACTGTGCCGAGAGGGTGAGTGGGAGACCCGGCAGCGACAACAGTGTCGCCGCTGCTGGATTCGACTCGTCCGAGCCCTGCCGGCCGATGCCCGGGCGAAGAAGAGCTGACGTGCCGATAAAGGCGTCGAGCTGGCGCGAACCGCGGCTTTCGCGTCCATTCCCGCCATCACCATCGCCGTCGCCACCACGAGTACTTGTCTCGCCAGCGGCATGCGCTTCGAGCTCATCGAGCTCCGACGCAAAGTTGCCGTAGCCTGCAGTTGAGGCGCGGGCGCGGGCGCCGTTGGAGGTGGAGCCGCCGAGCGTCGACGCGATAGACGAGCCTGAGAGCGTGGCCGACGATTCGGAGGCCTCCGAAGCCGACTGCATCGGGCGTGAGGTGATGAAGACATTGGCCGAGGGGAGGAGCGGAACTTGCAGCGAGCGGCGCTCAGGCGCCACAGACCACTCCAGACCAAGGCGCGAGAGCGCGGGATGGACCGGTGGCTTGGCGCCCGAGCCCGCATTCTTGCCACCGACCGGCCCCCGCTTTGGCCCGGTATGGGCGTCGGGGTCGACGACCGGATCAAAGTCGAGGACGCTGACGTTGGCTCGGAGCGCAGCGTACATGGACATGAGGAGGGTAGAGACAAGCGAGAGGATCGAGGCTGGCACCACTTCAAGCGAGTCGATGAGAAGCCAGGCTCCAGAGGCAGCAGTTGCCTTGAACAGCGAGGTAAGATGCAGGTACGAGGTGGAGCGGAGGGCGACGGCCTTGAAGATCGGCATGCCGAGTGCGTTGGCAAAGGCAGTGATGGTCTGGGTCTTTCCGGTATCGTGTGGGCCGACGATGGCAGCCGGATGACGTGACTCGATGGACATGACCAGGCCGTGGAAGACTTTGAGCGTCTGCGGAGTGTAGATAAAGGGCCGCTCGAGATCGACAAACTCGTTCTTAAACGTAAACCCGGAGTTGAACATCCGGGCGACGAGCGTGCCTTCCTCAACGTAGTACCGCAGCTGCGAGGCCCAGTGAAAGTCACTGGGTGCCTCGACGTGCTTGAGGATGAGATGCTCGAGAAGGTCACGGAAGCCGACAACGCGGGTAAGAAACATCGAGATCTTGAGCGCATCAAGGCGCGAGACTCGGTGTGGCATCGAGGTGAGCGCAGCCGACGCAGCAGTGAGCTCGCGGCCGAGAGCCTGGAGCCGCGGCCGCGCCCGGGCGTTCGGCGACGAGCTCACTAGGAACTGCTCGACGAGGGCGGTGAAGAGAATGGAGAGCGCGAGGATGGCGGCCTGGGTGGTGTGGTTCTGGACCCACGGATTGAGCCAGGCATACGAGGCAGCGGCGGTAGCAGCGCCTGAAGACGGACCAGAACGCGGGGGTGGTGCCGGTGCTGAGGGCGGGCGAGCGAGACCGGCGGCAGCGAGCGCGTCACCAAAGGATGCACCAAGTGGCGAAGCCAGGAGCGACGAGAGCGCTGTCGAGATGCCGCCAGCGACGGTGGCGGTGAGCGCGTGCTCGACGGCCGCGAGCCAGTCTTCAACGTTGCCGTCCGAGGGAACAGCCGTGCCAAACGGGACCCGCTGCTGCGACCAGGCGTAGACGCCGATGATGTTGCGATACTTGGAGGCGAGTGAGAATGACGACGGCGAGCGGGCAGTGATGGGTGCGGTCTGTTCGAGCGGAAAGTTAAAGTCGAGGTAGCGGACACCGGGGAAGAGCCGCGGGACTACAAGCCGAGTCTGCAGGTACGGCACGGTCGACGCAGCAAGAAGCTGAAGGAGTTCACCCGGCGCAAGAAGATAGAGCCGCGGGAAGATTGACTGCTTGGCGGCGGCAAAGAGGTTGAGCGAGTGGCGGCAGAGCTCGAGCTGGGTTGTCATGTTCTCGAGGTGGGCGTGGACGCCGGGACGGGTAGTGAGGTCGAGCGCGTTGGTCGTCTTGCTTGAGACCAGCGACATCAGCGAAGACCACTCGCTGTCGATGCCTGTGAAGCGAGCAATCTCGATGTCAAAACCACCCGGGTTGGAACGGGCGAGCGAGTCGAGCGAGGGCTTTGGCCGCTTGAGGAGAGCGAGCGCGCGCTTGAGGTGCGGCGAGCTGGCGCGGAGCTCGTCGAGCGGAGTGTTGAGCTCGGTGGCAATGGTAGAGAGGAAGCCCATGAGCGCGCTTTGGATCGAGTCTGCACGTAAAAGGGTCGACTCGAGGGTGGCGACCGAGGCGAGGCGGAGGAAGCAAAATGAGTTGGCGAGGTACATGTCCTGGACAGCCAGCATCGACGCGAGGGCCTTTGTCGCCTGCTTGAGCTTGTCTTGCCACTTGGCAACCTCGATGGCAAAGATGGAGACGTGCGGCGAGGCGAGGACACGCTCGAGCTCGACAAGGTGCTCGTTGAGCGAGGAGAAGACCGAGCCGAGTGGCGCAAGAACCGCCGATGGCGCCGGCGACGCTACGGATCGGACCTTGCGACGAAGCCGGAGGATGCGAGCACGCGAGGCTGCGTCCGGCACCAGAGCCTCGACGAGCTTGCGTACGTCGACGAGGGCTTCGCGCAGTTCGGGCGTGAGCTTGCCTGGAGTGACGGTGAGGCTCGGTGGCGGCGGCAGCTGCTCGTGACGCACATGGTCACCAAAATTGCCGCCGGCTACATTGTCGTCATCCGAGTCGTTGCTACCGTCGAGCCCGCCCTCGGCAGTCACGGTGGAGATCATTGATGTGAGCGACTCGGCGAGGCGCGGGTTCGAAGACTCAAGGAGGGCAAAAAACTGGTCGTCATCGACGTCGCTCTCGGCGTCGGCGTCGGAGAGATGAGTGGTGACGAAAATATCGTCATCGTCGTCGGGATCGGTAGCGCCAGCGTCAGACTCGTCAGATTCGGCCGGGAGGTCAAACTCGACGTGACGCGACGACGCTGTCTTGGTGTTTGCAACGCGGGTGAGCGGCGAGGTCGGCGTCCGCGGCGTTCGCGGCGTTCGCGGCGTACGCGACGAGCGCACGCCACTGTTTCGCTGGAGCGCGTCGGAAGACGCCGTTCGCCCAAGGCTCCGCTGAGTCCTGGGCACGTGCTCAGGGATGTCATCGCGGCCAGCGGCCGCTGGGCCGCCCATCATAAACTGGAGCGCGCGATTCATGACCGAGCCCTGGTTCTGACCCGGTGCAGAGCCGGATACAAACGAGCCGAGCGGCCCGTGGCGGCCGGCAGATGGTGCGTGGAGGTGGCCGCCGCCCGAGCTTGAGCGAGCGTGACCAGCATTGGCAGCGGCGTCGGCGCCGGCCGAGGACAGTTCGGTAGCGGCGGCCACCGCGGCGCGGGTCGGGTAGCCAAGTCGGTAGTGGGCTGGGGCGAGGATGTTGCTTGACGACGACGAGAGGTTGAGCGAGTCCGAGGGCGGCTGAGCCCGGGGCTGCGGCTGGAGTTGGCGCGGGCCGCCACGAAGCGAGGAGATGACCATGGGCGATATGGGCGACGATGGGGCCATTGGTGAGATCGGGGTGTGTGGGACGACCGAGACGCGAGCCGAGGGCGCATCGGGTGGTGGAGTTGGCCCGAGTGCCGAGGCGGTGGCGAGTACGACGTCTGCAGCTGCGGCAGCAGCGGACGGTGACGTGATGAGCCAAAGGACAACAAGGCGTTGGGCGTCACGAAGCGCGTTAAAGTAGGCGACAACCGAGTCAAAAACAAGAGCGAGTGAGGGCTCTGGCGTTCGCGGCATCGGATGCGTCGCGACAAGTGTGGACGTCCACGACGAGGCGATGCGCGAGAGCGACGACTCAATAGCAAGCTCTTTGGTGGCACGGTCGACAAGAGCGCGGATGGTGGGCGCGTGCTCGTGGAGGTTGAGGTTGAAGAGGGAGCGGAGCGGGGTGTAGGGCGAGATATCGATGACACAGCCCGTAATACGCGAGACAGCCTTCCAGTGGCGGTCGCGGATGGCCGGGACGGCGAGGGTGGAGATGAGATCCAGGTCGACGTCCATGGCCCGGACGCGAGTCTCGAGGTGGATAAACGCATCCCAGCGGCCAAATGGGGCGGCGAGAGTAACGAGCTGGTCCTTGAGCGCCCGGGTCTGTGTCGCCATGTCGCTGAGCTTGGCGCGGGCCTTGTCCCACGGAATGGCGTGCCAGTGGCGGAAGCGAGCCTCAGCCATGAAAATGATGTCCCACAGGGTTTTGAGACGAGTGAGCTCGGTCCGGCACCAGGCGAGCTTCTTGTACTCGGACGGGAGAAGCTCAAAGAGGACCTGCAGCTCGGATAGACGCTCGGAGCGGGCCTCGAGGACAGAGAGCGTCGCGTTGAGCGAATGCAGGACCCGAAAGGCTGCTGAGGAAGAGACCTCGTGGGAAAAAGGTGCCTCGGAGAGGTAAGTTCTGCGAAAGTTACGCTCTTCCTGCGTAAAGGCGCGGACGGCGAGCTTGACCTTGTCGGCCTCCGAAGGCATGAACGGCTCGGAGCGGAGACGCGCAGCGTTGGCTTGTGACTTGAGCTCCTTCCACGAGGTGTCAAGGCGCTCTACGAGGCGGGTGACGTCTGCGGAGAGGCGGATGCCGTTGCGGTCAAGGAGCTGGATGGTCTCAGTCATGGGTCGGAAGGAGGCATCGACGCGGGGTGCGTTCTTCTTGATGACGCGGACAAAGAGAAGGACAGACTGGAGGGACTCGGATTGAGTCTCTCCTGGCACGACCTGGGTGGCGAGCTGGCCACTTGCGAGAGAGCAAAAGTGCTTGAGCGAGCGGGTGGCGAGCGAGAGCGATGAGGTGAGGTAGTTGGTGTAGGAGAAGGTCCACTTCATGACCCAAGTGATGAGCGCTTGCTTGAACGGCTTAAAATCGATGCGAAGCCAGGAGACGCGGGTCGAGTTGGGCAGCTCCGAGATGGAGTCCTGCACATCACGGTACTTGAGAATGAGAGCCTCAAACTCGGGAAGGGTTGGCGAGCGGCCGTTGGGGTGGACGTGAAGCCGGTCGATGGCGGTGACAAAGTCCGTGAGGGCGGCAAAGGCCTCGTCGTGACGGATGCGCTTGGTAAGCCAGGGAAGCTCGGCGCCGGCGGCGCCTATGGCGAGAGCCGAGACCGCCAACTCGCCGGCTGCAGTGGAAGAGGTGAACCGGGTGCACTCGGCCTCGATGTCGTCTTCCCACAAGTAAGAGTACGAGTGAAAGTCGGTGGCGACGTCTGCTGCTTGCGACTCGGTCTCAATCGCAGTGGCGAGGATGGCTTCCGAGAGCTCGCGGACGTGCGGCGAGGCGGCGATGGCCGGAGCGTACGTGGTACTTGGGTTGTCCAGACGTGGGATGAGATCACCGATGGCGATAAAGTCGCGGATCCAGCCGCGAACCATGGTGGTGGTCCCGTCGACACCGTTGTCGGCGACAGCAGGATTGAACAACACGTTGGTACCGACGAGCTCGAGCTTGATTTCGAGGAGCGGGAGGTAAGCGACTGCAGTGGCCCCAGAGCGGTCGGTGACGATGCCGGCTAACTTGGCACTGCCAGCCTTGCCACCTGCGCGAATGAGGCGGAGGTCGTCAGACGGGCCGGCGCCAACCCTGCCCATGATGGACGTTGCAGCCGAGGCTGCTGCTGCGGCGGCGGCGGCGAAGCGCGACTGCGGGTGGCGGCCGTCGCCGGAGACATGCGTCTGGCGTTCAGCCCCCGGAGTTCCACGGCTAGCCTCGGAGCTGCGCACCGCAGGAGCTTCATCGTCCGAGTCGATGTCAGCGGCAATGAGCTGGGTGAGGAGGTAGTCGAGCGAGGCGACGACAGTGTCGTGGAGGCCGGCCTCGACCTTTGCAGAGAGGTGCGCAATGTACGCTTTCCAGGCCGGATCGCCGCGCGAGAGGCCGAGAGCAGCATTAGCCTGAACAAGTCGCGAGTGGATCGAGTCTGCCGATGACGCAATGATGTTGCAGACGGTTGCACGGAGGACAGAGTACTGGTCGAGGAAGTCGAGGACGTGGTAGGTTTTGGCGACGCGGTGGAAGAGCGGGTTTGCACGCCACGCCGCGACAGACTCTTCGACGTAGGCCGAAAGAGCCTTGACCTGTGAGAGCGACTCGGAGAGCTCCTCGAGGTAGGTGCGGGCGGAGGAGACAAACTCAAGGATGCCGTACGACTTCCAGTTGAGGACAACTTCGGCGTCGGAGAGGAACTGGTTGAGGCGCTCGATGTGAAAGGCAAACAGTGGGACTTCGACGGCTTCGAGGTCGAGCAGAATGGTATTGTACTTGCGGACAATAATCTCGAGATTTGTCTTGTGGGCGACGAGCTCGTGAGCTTTGTCGGCGAGACCAAAGGCGGCGTCGGGGACGGCGGCGCCGAGCAGAATGCACGCGCGGGTCTCAGCAAGAGCGCGAACGAGCTCGATGGGAAAGTTGACGCGAAGAAGGGCCGGTGGTGGGATAGCCCATGGCGAGGCGGCAGAAGACTTTGCACGGGGCGAGCTCGCGTTAGAGCCGAGCGAGGGGCGGCGGTGTCTGAGAGGGAGCGGAGTAGTGTCCGGAAGCGGCGGAGCGACCTTATGCGGGAGCGAGAGAAGCAGGCCGGGCGAAGCTGTCGCGTGCTCGACTGAGATGTGCGCAGAGCCTGCCAAGGTTGGTGCTGGCGACGACGGTCCAGGCGAGGCGGCCGAGGCAAGGAGGGCGGTGGCTGCTGACGAGTTGAAGTCTGCGTGCATGGCCTTGAGCGCTGGAAGAGCGCGGACGTGGGTGTACATGGTGGAGTGGGCATCTTCGGAGAGGCGGGTGAGGAGCGGAGCCTTGAGCGCGAGCGAGGAGACAGCAAACGAGTCAAACCAGGCCGAGTGGACTTGGAGCTGGTACTCGTTGAGCGAGCGGACGAGGTTGGTGTACATGGAGAGGATGGTCTTGCCCTTGTCCGAGTCTGCGAGCAAGTCCTTCGAGTAGTTGTTAAAGTACTCGATGGGGAGGCGGACGCGCGACATGAGGCCCTTGACCCAGAAGAGCTTGGCGGCGAGCGAAACCATGTTCTTGAGGTGCGGCGCCGGGTTTCGCATGTCGCGGCGGCGCATAAACTCTTGCGAGACGGTCTGGATGTCGAGCATGGTCCAGTCGAGCATGGCGTCGTGCTTGGCAGTGAGCTCGATCTGGATAAGCTCGCGCGGGAGGACGCCGTCAAAGAGGTGCAGGAGCTTGAACGCGTCGTGGATGGTAGAGAGCGAGTCAAAACCCTTGAGGATGACGGTGGCGGTCCGGCGCTCAAGTTCCTTGACTGTAGTGCGAAAGACATAAAAGTCGCGATCAAAGGCGGTAGCGTCGAGGTCAAACAGATCATAGGGAATGGTCTCGAAGAAGCGGAGGGCGTGGACAAAGTCTGCATAGATCTGGTGAACCGACTGGGTGTGGCTCCTCCCGTGGATGCCGCCCATCTCGATCGAGGCGATGGAGCCAAACTGGACGGCGGTAGAGAACATGGCGTGGACATCGTAGACGCGGGCAATAAAGGCGTCGAGACGGCGAAAGATGGTGGTGGTGATCGACTTCCACGCCTCTGCAGGAGCAACGGCCTGGGCCTTGAGCGCATACTCGCGCTGGAGCGTCTTGAACCGCTGCGCGACGACAAGGACGGTTTTGATGGCGGCGACGGCGGCGTCGGGCGGCTTGGCAAAGAGGCGTGCGGCCTTGAGGTGGGCGGTGCCCTTGGTGATGATGGTGTTGGCGAGGAGGCGGATCATGACGGCCCAGTTGGCGTCGGGGTCGTGGTAGTACTTGGAGTGCTTCCAAATGAGGACGAGAAGGTGGAGGATGGGGATGATGACTCGCATGATCGAGTCAAACTCAGCGACGGCGTCGAGACGGGCGAACCACGGCTCGAGCGGAGTGAGGAACTTGGCGTTGTCCGCAGCCTCGCGACGGGCGAGCTCGACCTCTTTGTACACCTTGGAGGTGAATGCGGAGCCAAAGGTGGAGCGCGTGGCCTCGAGGATGCGGAGGACCTTGCGAATCTTGACTCCGTTAAGCTGCTCGTCGATCGAGACTAGGTCGCGGAGCTTGCCCTTCCAGAACGTGACTTCGGCGAGCGGGCCGGGCATGCCCTCGCGGCGGAGGAGGTCCTGCGGCGAGGCGCGGAGAACGCCTTTGATTTGCTTCGACCACATGACAATGGCGGTCTCGAGCATGTGCAGCTTCTCCTTCTCGATGCGGATGGACGACATGTCGATGGGCGGGAGTGGGAGGAGGGTCTGGCCATGCGTCTGGCCGACAGTCACGTAAGTCTGGCCGAGAAAGGCGTGCATGGTCTCTTCAAGCTTGCCCTTGACATCAGACCAGGCCTCCTGGTGGGCCGAGTTGGTGAGGATGGGCATGAGGACCTCGTGGGCGAGTGCAGACATCTGAACAAGCGAGTCGTCGCCGAGCGTGCCGCTCGCCACCTCGGACGCCATGTTGTAGTGCTTGAGCTTAGTGTTGGGGTGCATCTTGAGAAAGAATACCGCGGTCGAGGCATACGAAGACCGCGGGAGCGGCGAGAGGACAAGCTCAAAGGTGGACGAGGCCGAGGTGGCCGACGATGCAAGGCGGACCGGCTTGCGGACGATGGTAGACGCTGTACCGCTCGCGACGACCCGGTCGGGCTCGGGCTCGTCAGCACCATACGACTCTTTCAGCGCCGAGGTGTTGGCAGAGACTACAGCATCGGCCACAGCCGGTGTGTCGAGCCAGGCAAAGAGCCGAGCCGTCGAGAGGTCGGCTCGGTCGAGGAAGGCCGCCACAGGCTCTGCAAACCGCGCCGGCGTCAGTGCTACAGCTATGTGTGCTTGCGTCAAGCCCGGCAGCAGCAGCCGCAGCCGTGACGAGAGCCACTCTACACGCGCGTCGGTAGTTTCCATGAGAGTGGGTGAGTGGGTGGGCGGGCGGGTGGAGTGGGTGGTGGAGAGAGTAACCGTGAGTGCGAGGTTAAGCGGGAGGGGAGAGGGAGGGGGGGAGGAGAGGGGGGTGAGGAGAGGGGGGTGGGGGTGGGGGGTGGGGGGAAATATTTTTTGGTGGGGTGGGAGGGGGGGGGGGGGGTTGGCGGTGGAAGGCTGCGCAAGTGCGGAGCGTGTGCGGAGCGAGTGTGGGTGGTGGTGGTGGCAGCGGTGGGGACCACTTGACTCTTCGAGAGGAAGGGAAGACAGGGGGTAGAGAGAACAAGAGCGAGAGGAATGGGTCGGCCGTCTTTGCTCGTGCTTGTGCCAACGCAGTTGCTCTCTGTCGTTGGCGAGGTGTTTGGCCAGAGAGTCTCCCGTGTCCGGCACTCGCACTCGAACCTCCGGTTCCTCCTCGCCACAGTGGTGTACTCTGCCGTCCAGGCTGCGATAGTCCTGCTCCTGACAGAGATCCTGCTCCCGCATTCAGTCACCGAGGGACAGGGCACGCTTGGCTTGTGGTCGTACTTGTGGGCCCATCCATGTAAGTGACTGTGATGTGAGGATGGGGATGGAGGGGCGAGACCAAGGCACTCACACGGGACTTGGCTGAGATCAGTGCTGTGGACGAACGCGGTCAACAACACCGTGTACTGGACGGCACAGGCGTACCTGCTCCGCGAACCGTTTGGCGTTCTCATCATTGTGGTCGGCTTTCTCACAGCCACCTTTGTCCTCGCACCCGTGCAGGTGATGTTCGGCATGGAGGTGTCCAAGCCGCTGGCGGCGCTGCCGACCGCGCTCGGCTATCTTGGGGCGGTGGCATGCATCTACGAGGCTTCACCAGAGCTGCTGGCGGCTGTCGCCGCGGCTTTCGGCATCCGTCTGCCGGCCGGCTGGTCCACGCCCGCCCAGGACGACGCTGTTGTCGCCCGCGGGCCGCCGTTGGTCATCAACCATGCACTGCCGCAGAGTGCCGGCGGCGCCTCGCACTCCATGTCGTCGGCCGAGTCCGACACCGACCGAGACGGGGGCGACGATGCAGATAGCCCGATGCTCGAAGAGCAGCATGCCGACGTCGAGGCTGCCGCGCACCCGCTTCTCGGGCTCGGGGAGCGTAGAGAAGATGTTGTCGCTGCCGGTGGCGACATTCGGCGGATCGGCTCGGTCGCGCCGTTTGTTGGCATTCTCATTGCGTGGGTCTTTCTCGTCGCCACTACCGCATTCGGTATCGTCATCACCACGTACTTTGAAAAGGAGGCCGGGCTCAACATGTTTGGCTACGCTGCGGTCGACCAAATCCTCCTCCCGTTCACCACCATTCCGTTCCTCATCTGTGTCAACCTCATGCCTGCCGCGCGGCAGGTTCTCGAGCCGGCACACTCGGCCGAAGAGTCGTTTGTGGCACTTGCCAAGCGGACGTGGCGCGAGACTGCGCTCCTCGACATGGCGGTCTTCCGCGGCCTCATGTTTGGACGCGAGTTCCTCTTCTTCTACCTCGCCACCTCGTTTGATCTCAATCTCGTTTATCTCGAGATGACCCTCATCCGCATCGTTCTCTCCTTCCTCGCCTCGGCTATTGTCTGCAAGTGGGCCGCCACCTTTATCCATCTTGCCCGACGCGAGACCCGCCGCACCCTCCATCCGCTTAACCTCGCTTTTCGGCTCTTTGGTACACTTCTTGTCACCGTTGCCATCATACTGTTCAACTAGCCGCGCGACTTGTGCGCTCCGATTGCAATACACATGCCCGGAGGGGTAAGAGGGGGGAGGAGGAGTAACCTGTCTATCCCGCGCACCTCGCCCAACCACGCCACTCGACGCCACGCCACCTACCACGGCCGTAGCCACCATGGGGGCGTCCAACTCTCGTCGCCCACCGCCATCCGTGGAGTACTACCACGAGCAACAAAGCCGCCTCCGCTGTGGCGCACATGCCATCAACAACCTCTGCGGCGAGCCGTGGGCCACGACCGAGCTGCTCGACTCGGCGGCTGCCACTCTCGCCGCAGGCGGATCAGGACTCGCGACCGACCCGAGTGGCTCGTTGGGAGAGTACGGCACGCGGTGGCTTGGTCAGTATGACGCTGCCGTGCTCTTGGCTGCCCTCCAAACCCGTGATCTCGTCCCATGGCTCCTCGTCTCGCATGCCGCCGTCGACTCCCGAGGCAACGCAAGTCGCGAGGCTGCGGCAGAGGCAGAGGCTGAAAAGCTGGTACGGACGATGGTCGGACTCGACCAAGTCGCCATGCCCATGGGCATACTCGTTCACGTGGCATCATGGGCGGGCGGCCATTGGATGGCTGTCCGCATGCTCGACGATGGCTGCTTCTACCTACTCGACTCGGAGAAGAGCTACCCGCGCCGCATCGGTCGCCGTCGGCTGGTCGACGAGCTCGATGGCGCCAGTATTCGTGCCAACCTGCAAGAGTGGGCTGTCGATGCGCTGCTGCATCGGCAAGCCACGCTTTTTGTCATCGGCAGCGCTACCGACGCACCCGCCGGCAGCGGCGATGCTTCCGGCAGAGGTGATGAGCTCGCTCTCGCCCTCGCGCTCTCGCTGTCATCGACAGCACACACAGGCTCTGTGTCAGATCCAGCTCCAGACTCGGCACCGAGCACATGGATATGTCCCGACTGCACCTTTGTCAACCACGACACGTTGCCGATCTGTGAGATTTGTCGTCGGCCACGCCACGGTCAATAGTCAGTAGCGTGCCGTGTGGCTTGCGATGCATCCTACGTGCGACTACACGCCTCCCATGACCCGCCCTGCCCGTCCTTGCTGCGCGATCGAATCAGCGCCCTCATGCCAACCTCCGATCGCCACGCGACTTGCGATGTGGACACTGTTGTCATTTCCGTCACCCGCCGCACTATTAAACTTGCGATTCCCCTACAATCACTCCCAAGCTTATCCTCATCACTTCCGGTCGTGGCTGCCAATGGCAAGAGCGCCGGCCGCTGGCCGTCACCACCTCGCACGCCCACACCTCTCGCTCGCGTCGACCAACGCAAGGGCGGGCAGAAAGGTTTGCAGGAGCAAGTTGGACGAGCAGACTCCCTATGTCTACGCCTGTGACTAGCCAAGCAAGCAAAGGTGTGGTGCTCGACAGAGACGTTCTGGAAGCCGCCGACGGGTCATGCCGAAGACTGGCGGCGGCGCTCGGTCAATGGTCGCTGGCCAAGCATGCGTCTGCGCTGACGTCGGCCACATCGACTCTTCACAAACGACTCAAACCCATTCTTCCTCTGACTCGAGACTCGGATGTTTGTGATCTAGAACAAGCTATCGCTGCACTCCATGAGTATGCTCCCAAAGCTGCTGCTGCCCTCCAGTCGGAACCGCTCTTTGCCTGGCAACCCGAAGACGTCGATCTCCTCACCGCTCCGGCTCGGCATCTAACGCCGCTATCAGAGGCAGAGGCAGGGGCAGAGGCAGAGCAAGCGGATGCGGCGGGAGCGGCCGATGTGACAAACCGTGGAGCATCGGCCGTCCGTCGCGCTCGCCGCGCAGGAACCATCGGGACCGGCACGGGCGCCGTGACCCGCACGCTCTTCTCACTTCCGGCTATGCTCGAGCGAATGGTCCTTGCTCCGCTCCTCGACGAAGTGTGGGAGCGGCTGGCGCCATCGTCTGGCGGTGACGAGTTTGCCAAGCGAGTGGCCGATCTCAGCAGTGTGCTCAAGCCGGAGCACCTCGACCTGCCGTTACTCGGGCCCGAGGCCTGCAGTGCGCTTGATGCTGCTGGCGCGCAGCTTTTGGCGCTCGACGACTATCCGCTGCCCCATGACAAGATCCTTGTCCTACTCAACGCGTGCAACGCTGTGTTTGCCGCGCTGACGCCTCCGAGCAGCCCTGCTACCGCCGCCGGAGGCGCTGAGCCCGACATGCCCAACTCGATCTCGGCCGACGACTTTCTTCCGTGCCTCATCTACGTCGCCGTCCACTACGGCGCTGTCAACCTCCCGCAACACCTTCAGCTCCTGCACTTTTCCTTCACCCGGCCGAGCGCTCATCGGCCCGGGCTACTTTGTCATGCAAGCGTGCTCGGTTGTCTCGTTTGTTGGCACGCTCACTCCGACCTCGCTCTCGCTCACCGGCGACGACGCCGACGCTGTGGCGCTCCGGAACTATTGCGCCCGCCACCCGCCGCTTGCCTCGTCTGACGTTCTGCCGTGGATGTCCGGCATGGGCGGGCCTGCCACGGCGTCGCCGTCGGCATCGCCACCAGCGTCGTCGCCCGGCCGAGGTAGTCGCGGCAGCATGTCGGGCTCACCCGATCCACCACAAGCGTCACCACCTTTGCACGAGTCGGCCGAGGCCGCCCTCGCCCGCGAGCTCGCAACGGTTCGCGCCGAGAGCGAGCGAGCGCTCGCACGGGCTCGGCAAAAGGCAGCCCTCGCCGAGGCTGCGCTTGCTGCTGAGAACGAGCAGCTTCGCGACGAGATATCTGCCCTCAAGAGCCAGCTCGTCTCATCGGATCCGTCGGGAGTGATGCGCGCAAACTTGCTCCTCCGCGACCAGGTCGCCGAGCTCGAGGTCCGAGTCGGCGAACTCACCGAAGGCCGCGCCATCGACGCCGACCTGCTCAACGAGCTCAAGGCGCGCTGTGACTTGTTCTGCGAGCAGATTGCCTCGCTGTCGGAAGAGGCCGACGCTGCACGTGCTGACGCCGACGAGTGCCGCAACGCCGCCGCTGCCGACGCGGCCCGGGCTACTGAACTCGCCCAGGCGCTCGATGCTGCAGGCGCCAAGCACGCCGCGCTCGAGGCTGCTCTTACTCGGACCCGCAGTGAGCTCGAAGACCTCATTCTCGAGCACCACTCACTGCAAGAGAGCCAGACCGCTGCCGCTGCAGCCGCAACAGCCGTCAAACCGCTCGAGGCGCGGATCGTCGAGCTCGAGGCAGCGCTGGCCGCGGCAAAGACCGCTGCCGCAAGTGCCGCTGCCGAGCGCGACGACGCCACGACCGAGCTCTCCAGAACCTCTCATGCGCTGGCGGCGCTGCAAGAGGCGATGGGCAAGACCCGCAAGGCGCACGCCGAAAAGCTGCTTGCGCTCGAGCTGGCATACGCCGCGTTGGAGGAGGAGAATGCGCAGCTGGCACAGGCTAGCACATGCGGAGAAGAGTTCACCAGAGCCGATGCCGGCGGCGGCGGCGGCGACGACGACGACGGTGACAGCCGCGGTTCGCCTCCCGCTGCGGCGGTCGAGTCCGAGTCTCGGGCCAGGGCTGTGGCAGCGACGACGGCGCGTCTCGAGGCGCAGCACCATTACGAGGTGCAGTCGATCAAGCACGCGCTCGCTGAGGCGCTGAGCGAGAAGACGGCGGCCGAGGAGCAGACGGCTGTGGCGGAGCGGCAGGTGCAGAAGGAGAAAATGCTCAACCAGATGCTGCAGACCGAGCTGAAGGGTGTGTTGGCCAAGGGCCGTGGCGCCGAGGAACGACTGGCGCGCAAGCTGCGCAATGCGCAAGAGGCGGCCAAGGCCTCGCTCCGGGCGCGCAACGTAGCCGAAGAAGCGCTGGCAGCCGAGAAGGACAAGGTCGCTGAGCTCTCAGCCTCGGTCTCGGTGCTTGTCGCCGAGGTGGCGCAGCTGGAAAATGTGCTGCAGGAGAAAGAGTACGCCGAGCTCAACAAGGAGACGTGGGTGCCCGACGCTGACATGTCGTCGTGCAACTCGTGCGATGCTCCGTTCTCGCTCTTCCGCCGGAAGCACCATTGCCGACTCTGTGGACACATCTACTGCGCCGACTGCTCGTCGAACCGGGTCGCGCTCCCGTCGCATCCGCAGCCGGTCCGGTCGTGCGACATGTGCTTTGCCGCCCGCAAAGTCGTCGCCCAGCGGCGGGTCCGGGCCTCGTCCGGCAACGCGTCCAAGCTCAACGCTACGTTTGGCTGATGGCCACGCGACGTGAGCCCTCGCGAGTATCCTTCATTGCAGCGGTTGTCAAGTTAGCTTGACGCAGATGACCGAGAGGTTGTCGGTGGAACCGAGCTCGAGAGCAGCCTTGAGGATGGCTTGCGCGGCCGACTTTGCATCGGGCGAGCGGATGCAGGTATCGATGGCTGACTGAGGATGGATGACGTCCCACACGCCGTCGCAGGCAATAACGATGCAGTCATTGTCGGCGGTGAGGACTTCGGTGCGGGTAAATGGATCCGAAATGATGATGGACTTCATGACGAGGTCGCCGAGCGAGCGTGTGACCGCGACCATGCCGTTGACCTTACCACGGGCGAGGAACCCACCCTCGCGCTGGATGCGGGTGACTTCGTCTTCAGATGCCGGCGTGTGGACAGGAGCAAGATCGATGGCACGGCCACGCGACGAGAGCACAGCGCGCGAGTCGCCAACCGATCCGAGGTGCAGCAGCATGGTCGAGCCGTACTTCTCGAGCATGACGCACATGGCCGTAGTGCCATGATACAAAATGCCCTCGTTTTCAAACACTGTGTCTGATGCCAGAAACGCGTCCTGGAAAATGTCCTTGGGATCGCGCTGGCCCACTTCTTGCGCTAGGACTCGCGGGAGAAACTCGGCGGCAATCTCCGACGCTCTGGCTCCGCCATGGCCATCGAATACACAACAGAGTGTACGGAGGCCATCCGGACCAAAAGCATCATCAATGACAATCACGTCTTGCATCTCTGTTCGAAACTGCGAGTTGACGTCTTGCGCTGCTCCAATCATCTCTCCAAACGCAAACCTCACCAGCTCGCCGGCCTCTGTAATGCGCTTGTAGCCCGAGACGTCATTGTCCTCAGTAGCCGAGATCTCCGACATAGACATCTCCAGCTCATCGTCATGAACAGGCACACTCTTACAGCACGACATTGAGCTGAAGGATGTATGTGATGGCAAAGTGGAGAAGGAATGTGGCTTGAATGGGGGGAGGAGGGGAGGGGACGAAGTATGGACGAAGTGTGACGAGTGCAGACGGCCCTATTGCCAGCATACGACCAAGTGGTGAGTACTACGAGCCATACCAAGACAAGGGCATGTGAAGAACGCGACATACATCCCCCCCACACAGACACACACAAACACACACACACGCACACACACTCCCGGGTGTATGTAGTCTGGCACCCTATGCCTGCGGTGGTGGTGCTTCAATCTCTCACCCTTCTCCTTCTCCTTCCCTTCCCTGACCCTTCTCCACCCTTTGCACAGATCTGCAAGCCGGTTGACGTTGGGCGCAGGAGGGGGGAAGGGGGGGGGGGGGGGGGAAGGAGAACAAGGCAAGGGCAACCACCAGGTAAAGCCAACGACCCGCTACACACCATAATCACTCCTCCCATTCACAACCCTCCCCATACCCTGCCCTGCCCCTGCCCCCTGCCCCCTTGGCCCCCTGCCCCCACCCCCTCAACCCAATTCACCCAGCCACTCTCCCGCAAACCAAACGTTGTTGCCCATTATCATCATATATTTCTCACCAATCAAAACCTCCCCCCTCCAGCCACTTACCGCCCGAGCCGAATGTGGTCAGCTAAAAAAGAACTGAGTCGGGTGACGGATTGAATTGCGCCAATGAGGGAGACGGATCGAGTGTCACGGTGGAAGCTGGTCACGGTGGGGGAAAAGTAGTCAGTCACGGTGGAGAGGTTGAGGGGGGGGGGAGGGTAAGGTGTTGCTTGCCGTGGCTGCGGGAAAGAGGGGAGGGTGAGGGGGTTGGGGGTCGAGGAGGGAGCGGGGGAGAAGGAGAAGGGTACTCGACGCGCAATAGAGAAAGAGGTGGGGCGTGGTGAGCAGGAATGACGCTGCGTGAACGGAATGGAAGCAAGGCGGCAGACGAGGTTGTGGTGGATGTGGGGGGTGGCGGAGACGGTGACGGAGACGGAGGAGGAGGAGCACGACGGTTGGGCAGGACGGCGGCACCGCATTTTTTGAAGAACATCCATATCAAGACAGGCTTTTCCGTCTTCCGCACCCATGCAAGCTGCTTGCAAACCCTGATCAAAGTCAACAATGAGACGCTCAACGTGTACACGGTGGTGATCTTTGGCATCGTGCCGCTGTTGGTGCTGCTGGCCAACGCTGCGGCGACGCCGGCCTTCTACACCACTGCTAGTCTCCATCCGGGCGTGTTTGTAGCAGGCGTTTGCCTCGCGCTTGTCAATTGCCTCGCCACCATCACATACCACCTCTTCTGCCAGATCCCGATGTGGTATCACTTTTGGTCAGCTGTCGATTTGTTTGGCATTGCCGTCGCGCTCATCGCCTACGCGCTCGGCCTCATCGCTGTCGACTACCCGTATCCATTCCTCCCGCGGCCGGCGCACCATGCGGCGATGATCCTCACGGCAGTCTGCCTGGTGATGGGCATGGCTGTGGCGCGGTATCGGGTGCACATTGCACGCGAGTCGCCGGTGGCGCTCCTGGTGGCCAACGTCGGTGTCGGCATCTTTGTCACCCTCCCGGCCTTTGTCTCGCTCCGCGGCGGCTCGTCACGCCGAGCCGTGGCCACAGTCGTCCTCCTCCTTGCAGGCATGACGCTGTACCTGGCCAAGATTCCGGAGCGATGGATCTGCTTTCAGTCGCGAGTCCTCGACCTGTTCGGCAACTCTCACCAACTCTGGCACGTCGCCTACAACATCGCCTTTTATCTATTCTTTTCCGACTTGCTCGTCTTTGCCCTCGGTGATTCGGTGACTCTCTGGCTCGGATAGCCGGCTGCGCATGGCGCCGCTGGCGCTGGCCATTGCCCGCAGTGCGCCCGGAATGTCATACAGGACAAGGATCGAGTCGTTGGGGTAGGCAAAGACGCCGTCGGGCGGCTTCTCAAAGCCAAACGATGCGTACAGCCGCTGGGCGCCCACGTTGTCCACCCCGCCGGCCACCTGCAGCACCGCATGCCGCCGCCCGTCGCGCACGGCAGCCATAAACAGCGCCGTTGCCAGCAGCAGCCGCCCATACCCCTTCCGACCGTACCCGGGCCGGGTGCCCATGATCTCGATCTTCATCCACCCGTCAAACGGCGAGTCACCCCATGCTGCCGGCGCAACTGCGCCATCAGCAAACGCCACTTGCCCATCACTCACCACACGCAGCGGAACCATGGCGAGCTCGCCGCGCTCGCCGCCGCTGCCAAGCGCGAGCTGCGGCGTCGTGGGCAGCCCGATGGGAGCGACAGACAGTCGCGACTCGATGGCCTGGGCTGCGGCGATCCACTCGCGCATCTCATCGACCGGCACGCCTCGCCAAAAGAGCAAAGCCACGATCTTGTCGTTCTCGTCGCTGGCACGGAGCGAGATGGCATGCAGCTCGCCGTCAAAATCGTCCTCCACAAAGGCTTCCCGAGCGAGGTGCTCGAGGGTGGGCAGGGTGGTGACGGCCTCCTCGCCCAGCCTTGCAAGGCTCTCCGAGCTCTCCACCACCAACCGGAGCTTGTTTCGGGTAAGGACGGAGCCTACAGAGCCATGCCAGTTGGTCGCGAGCTGGCTTTGACTCGCTCCGTCGGCTGGGGGAGGGGTTGACGCCGCCATGGCATGCGAGTCGAGCGAGGAGTGGCGGCGGCTACAGATCAACGGCGCCGAAAGCGGTCCGCCTGCACGCATCTGCGGCAGGCGCGAGGGGATGCACTGTGATGTTTACTCACCAGAGTCTGGCTGGATCATGGTACGGCTCGAGATCGCTAGCACTGATGACGGTGGCAGCGGCGGCAGCAGAAGCGGGAGGGCGGGCAGGCGTCACCAGGGGTGCTTCGGCGTACCAGCCGGATGGGCGAGTCGCGGCATCGGGAGCGACCACCAGCGGGGCCATCTCGACAATGAGGGTGGCGTGTTCGGCATCAAAGGTGCGATCGTCGAGCGGAGTAAGCTCGTGGACATCGCCTTTGACCACGCCGAGGTCGTCGAGGTCGTCGAGCACCTTACTATGCTTACCTCTGCCCTTACTCCGCTTGCCGCGCGAGATCTTGGCCGAGTCGACGAGCGCCATCATCTTGGGCACAAGAGACTCGGCTGGCGGGGCAGGCGTCGCGGCGCCGGCCATTTTCTTCGGCTTGGCCGGCCGCGCCGGTGGCGACATGGTCCGCGTCGAGATCCACTCGATGCCGTCGTCGGCGGTCTGGCTTGCACTCCCACTGTGGCTAGCGCCGGCGGTGGCAGCGGCGGTGGCGGCGCGGGCGAGCGAGGGCGAGAGTGGCGTGGCGGCGGCGGCAGTGGTGGCGGCCAGCGGCGCCCCCTGCCGCGCTGGCGCACGTACTGCGCTACCTCCGCCGGTAGAGCTCGTGGGAGCCGCCGCGGGCGATGGTGCAGATAGCGGCACACCAAGCGGCGTCTCGGGCACCACACCCGTAGGCGCCGCTCTGGCTTCCGCTCCACCGAGGCCGCGCGATATGGGCGTGTCCGGCACCAGCGGCACGTCGACCGCTAGCAAGCCGCGCCGCTTCTTGGGCTTGGACCTGGCACTAGGCGCGGCTTTGGTCTTGGCCTTTTTGGCAGACGGCTGCGCAGCCTCGGTACTGGCGTCAGGCGAGGTCTTGCGCTTTCTGCTTGCTTGGGCGGTGGAGTCGCTGCGCGGAAGAGGCACGCCTTCGACGGTCATCCACGGATTGCAGTACCGCTCGGTCGAGGTGGCGAGGATGGCAAGCGCAATTTCGCTCACGTGGACGATTCGTGGCGGGTGGGGGCCGAGAGCGGCAGCCATGGCGGAAGCGAGCGCAGCTGCTTGCGGCTCGTCGGGATCGTCCATGTTGGCCACAAACCGGGCGTCAGCGCCGTGGGTGGCCACAACCGCCTTGGTTGGCGCGGCAGCAAGGATGCAGGAGCCACCGGCAGCCTCGATGACCTCCCGCGACGGATCGGACTCGTTGGCGGCGAAAAAGACAAAGGTGAGGCCGGCAAAGAGGCTGCGGCGGAGCGGGCGCGGGTCAAAGCTCGCCACCGACATGTCGACCATGTCGTCGACCACGCGCGGCATGTACTCGGCTGGGCTCGGAAGTTCAGATCGGCCTGCAGATGCCGATGCCACCAGAGCTTCCAGAAAGTCAGGAGTCACGATGGGCACGCCGTAGACCAAGGCGAGGACAACCTTTTGCGTCACCACAATGCTCTCCATGACCAGATGTGTGACACTCGACGACCAGACCGGAGTAAAGCCAGCATCGAGCTGGCGAAGGAGCGGACCAAGGCCCGCACGCTTCTCCGACGGCAGCGACGAGGTCGCAATGACCATGGCGTTGTACCGCAGAGTGGCAGTCGAGCCGTTGAGGCCGAGACCAAGGATTGAGCCCGATGACAGCCGCACCGTCTCGCCTTGAGTCATCTTACGATCGTTGTGAAGCGAGCCAAACCGAGAGGCATCATGAAACGAGATGGTCGCCAGCGATCCCCTTGGCAGAGCAACAGAAGTCGAGGACGACGACGTAGTGCCCGAGTCGCCACCAGGCCTTCGGCCAGGACCATCGCAGCTCTTGCCCGGCACTTCCAGAACCAACCTCCCGTGCATTCGGGAGACAGACGAGTCGGCAATAGTAATGTCCATGTTCTTCCTCCCCACCGTGTACTCGCGACCAGCAAGGAGGTGTACCGTCCGTGCTGTGTGTGGGAGGGGGGAGGGGTGAGGGGGTGGCGGAAAAAGGTCGTGATCACAGGGGGGGGCATGTGGGGAACGGGGAGAGGTAGGGGTGAGGGGAGGGCGTACTACGGGTGCCGGTGTAGTTCTGTGGGTCACGGGCAGAGATGGCGAGCTCCCACATGGGTGTGTGGTGGGGAGGGGGGAGGGTGGGGTGTGGGCTCGGTAGCATCTCGTCCGGGCAGGCCACGCTGGCACGTACGGACGGCAGAACGGCAAGGATGGCAGAGTTTACTTGCACCGAGCACGGGTGCGGGCGATCAACAGGTAGAGGTGGCTTCGGAAGGGGCGCGACTGGAGGGAGTTCGCGGGCATGAACAGCGCGGAGAGGGTTGGTCATGGCGGCGATGACTTGCGACGATAGCTCAGGGAGGCGGTCGAACGAGTAGAGGCGGCGGATGGGGAGCTTGCGCTTGGGCGAGGAGGTCGGCGAGGCCTCGAGCTTGCGGATCCAGGCAAGAGCGAGGTGTGGGGCGAGCATGCTGGCGCGAGCTGATGGTTCGACAAGATCCATGGCGGTGGAGTCCGAGGCGAGCTGGGCGGCGGCCATGCGGGCAGCCTCGGTGCGGAGAAAGGCGACGACGGCGCGCGGCCGGATGGCCGAGGGTGAGAGGTCGGCCAGGGCGATGCCGTCGTCGTCGGCAGCGACGAGCGACTCGGCAATTTCGCGAAGGTGGACGAGGCCATACTCGGGGATGAGCTGGGTGGCGATGCCGGCAACCTGCAGCGACGCCTTGCCGTTTGTCGAGCCGGACTTGACGTCAAAGCCGCACTTGGCAAGGAGCGGGGTGGAAGTGGCGGCGATGACGGCTGCAAAGTTGCGCTCGCCGCCGAGAGTCGTCGGGTCCGAGACTACAACCGGCAGCGGGAGCGGCGACGGCGGGAGCGCAAAGGTCTCGAGCAGTTTGGCTAGCAGCGTCTCCTCCATCCACGCCTTGATGGAGATGGCGTAGAGGGCTGGGAAGGCGGCAACGATGGCAAAAGCACCGCCGTCATTGCCGCTGAACGTGCCCACCAGCTGCGGGGCCGACGAGGTAAAGAGAAGCGAGCGGTCAGGCGACGGCACCGACGGCGTGAACATCCGTTCAAACGAGATGAGTACGTCGATGAGCTCCTCGCCGTCGTCGGCGGAGGGGCCGTTGTCGGCAGGAGCGATGTCCATCGGCTCAAACTGAGTCACAGCCTGTGTCGGCTGGGTCGGAGCCGGGGCCGGAGGTGCAGGCTCATCGCCCGACGACGATCGGGTGGGCGCGGCCGGCGCCGGTGACTCGGCTGGAGGGTGGGCAAGGGGTCTAGGGCGCTTGGCGAGCGGGGCGTCGTCGTCATCGACGATGGCGTCGCAATTGGTGACCGTCACGGGTTCGGGGACTCGAGCGGGAGCTGCGGCTGAGGAGGGTGCCGGCTCGGCCTCGGTCCGCTTCCGCTTGAGGCTCTCGGGCGACGAGATGGGCGGAAGGGCCGGCGAGAGCGTGATCTGGGTCTGACGGGTTGGTGGCGGGAGCTCGTGCGGCGGCGGACGAGACGAAGGGGCCGGGTCGTGGCGGCGGGCGGGTGCGGCGACTGAATCGAGCGGTGTAGGCTGCGAGGTGAGGACGTCGATAATTGAGCGGGTGTAGACGGTGTCAAGCGCCGCATCGAGCGCGCTGGTGACGGCGTCGGCAGCGTGGAACATGACAGTCCGCTTGTCGGGCGTGACGTTGATGTCGAGGGCGGAACGGGCGACCGAGACGAATACGAGGGCAACGGGAAAGGCCGAGGACGAGACGCGGCCGTCAAAGAAGGTACGGTAGGCCGAGGCGAGGAGCTTGAGCAGAGTTGGCGAATCAAAGGGCCGCAGGTTGCAGTACATGAAGACCTTGTCCGATGAGGACCGGGTGAGCGCCTTGATCGCGGCCGGCGACGCGTCCGGGTTCGGCACGTACAGCTCGAGCGAGAGGTCTGGCGAGGCTGCGTCGGATGGCTCGGACGGCGGTGGCGGCCAAACAATGTGAACAAGGCCCTTGCCCAGCGCAGGGCCAAGAATGCGGCCGATGGCGTCGGCAACCGAGGAAGAGGCCGGAGCGTTGAGCGAGGCCAGGGCGCGCGAGGCCGAGGCCGGGCTCGAGGTGTAGTGCCAGCGGACGTCCGGGCGGGCCATGGCATGGGCGGAAATGAGAGCATGAATGTACTTGTTGTACGCCTTGCGGCGCTGTTTCATCACCCGCTTGCGGACCGGGTAGCTTGCAAAGAGGTTCGAGACCGCGACCTGGGTCCCGCTTGAGGTCGGAAAGGCAGCCGGTTTCGACGACGCCACAGCGCCTCCACTGTCGAGAACAAGCACCGTACCCATGTCCTCGTCTGCGCACTTTGTTGTGATCTCCACCTTGCCGAGGGTGGCCATAGAGTTGACGGCCTGTGGGTAGGAGAGGGGGGTAGGGGAGGGGGGGTAGGGGGGGGAGGGGGTGGTCGTACTTCGCCACGGAAGCCAAGGGAGGCAACATTGGCCAGGTCTGCGTAGTCTGTGATCTTTGAGGTTGTGTAGCGGAGGCCGACCAAGGAGCGAGAGTCGGGCGGAATGCCCGAGCCGTCGTCGGTGACCGAGATCGAGGCAAAGTCGGGGCCGATGCGGACGGTAATGGCCGAGGCACCTGCATCAAGAGCGTTTTCCACCAGCTCACGGACAACGTCAACCGGGGAAGTGATGACCTGTCCAGCAGACAGGGACACCTGCGTGGCTTTGGACAGCACCTGCATGGCGCGAGAGGGGAGAGGGGTGTGGCGATGTCAAACGAGCGAGCGGCCGTGGGCGGGTGGGGCGGCCTGGCGCTCACTTGCCGCACACCTCACTCGAAGACTTCTTAGAGAGGGCGAAGAGGATGGCAGACCCGTTGTCGAGCTGGACGAGCTTCACCAGCACGATGGACTCGGGACTGAGCTGGTACTCGTCTCTGCCTGGGAGAACGGGGGTGGCGGACGAGCGAGGCGTGAAGGCCGACTCGGGCGAGACGGCGAGGTGGTCGACGGGTCCGAGGCTGAAGAGCTGGCGGATCGACAGAAAGTAGCCGCGCACAACGCGCTGCAGTTGGTTTGCTCGCTCGGGCTGCCGGCATCGGCGCTGCCGAGGTCGAGCACGGCAGGCAAGATCCGGTCGCTGCGGTTGGCCCGCGCAGGCGCGTGTGTTGTCCAGCTTGTTCAGATCTTCATGCACTTTCGCTATGAGGCCATCAAGCTCGCCAACGCTGTTGCGCGAGAGAGCGCGTCCGAGCGCAGAGGAGGAGGCCAAGGCATCGGGGTGACGGTCGCGCGGGTCCTGGCGTGGCGCCCACTGAGGGTGGCGATCATCGGATCCGGAGCCATGGCCAAGGCTGTAGTCGCTGCGCTGCTTGACTCGGGCACGATCGCTGCGGCGTCATCGCTACTTGTGGTTGTCCGCGAGCCCGACGCGAGTAGACATGCTTCGCTCGCGCGTCGCGACGTGACGCTCACCGACGACATGCACGCGGCGGCCAAGGTGGCCGAAGTTGTGGTGGTAGCGGTGCCGGCGGCAGCGCTTGGGGATCTGAAGGAGCGGGCGGCGCAGGTGACGTGGATGCCGACGACGCTCGCCGTCTCACTCGCTGTAGGTGCGTCGCTGGCACGAGTCAAGAAAGCGCTCCGGACAAGCTACGCCATTCGGGTGGCAGGCAGCCTTCCGTGTCTCAAGCCTGAGGAGGGCGATCAGATTGCGGGCATGGAACCTGGCGAGCAGCAGGGCACCATTGCATGGCGCGAGCTCTCGGTTGTTATGTCGAGCACAGTGAGCCAAAAGGCGCGCAGCTCTGCACTCGCAGATGTGCTACTGGCGCGGCGCGGGCGGCGGCTCGACGACTACGCGATGCTCGACGCGTCGTCGGCGGTCCAGCTCCTCGCCGATGTCAACCAAGTTGAGCGGCGAGCAAATGCCTCGCCGGCGCTTCCCATCTCGCAGTCTGTTCTCGGCGACGAGCTGCTTGGGCGGCTCCTCGAGACCCTCATTGCCATTGCCATCGATACCTACCACATTCCCACTGAGCGGCTAGAGGAGCTCATCGAGAACGTCGACGCGCCGTCAGCAACCGCCGACCTGCGGACTCGCACTGGGACGGAGCCGGCTCAGTACAGGTAAACACTCCACGACTTGGTTGAAGACGAACAAGTTACAAACTTGTACGGCAAGTACGTTTGTGTGTGGGGGGGGGGGGGAGGGGGGGAGGAGGGGGAGGGTGAGGGGAAGGGGTGAGGAGTGGAGGGTTGTGGTAGCGTGGGGGAGGGGGGTAGGGGAGGTGGGAAGGAGAACGGAGGAGGGGGTAGGGGGGGTAGAAGGCCCTGTGGTCGACGTGTATC